TCGCGCTTGAGATGCAGCAGTAACCGCCTTTCGCAACAACGGTGCGGTTTCGCGATCTGGGTCGACCCATTGTTGCGAATTCCTCCCTTTCCCTCTCCCCTCTTACTCTAAACCCTTCGATCCTCCTTTTAGTCGGTAAATCCCTTTGTATGTGGAGCGGGCGTCAGTTGTTGGAGGCGATTTATTATGAGAATTATGAGGGGCTCGCGCTCTCGCGGTGCCCCGTGGAACTCAGGGTAGTGCTCGAGGAGGTGCTAGTAAGAGGCGGTACTGCCTCGTAAACCTTAGATTTACTTCTGGCTGGCCGCCATCAAAGCACCATGCACCACTACGCAGATCGTTCTTCGTGTTTCGCAGAGTCGACCCGAGATACTTATCGCAATATTGCCGCGAAGAGAGTCGATTGCTGCGTCGAGAAAAGGAGAGAGAAAGAGAGAGGGAGAGAGAGAGAGAGAGAGAAACAAGAAAAAAACACCTGGATTTCCTTCTTTCTGCCTTTTCTAACTTTCCTAGTTTTTAATCCTTCTTCATGTACTCCAGAATCTGTGCTCAAAAAACTTGGAACACAATATCTGACAGAGAGGAGGAAGCAAAAGGAACCAGATAAAGTTTGTGCGCAGAAATTACAACAACAAAAAACTCAATTAAAATTTAAATCATCATTGTCTGTTTCACACACTTAGTGACAAATAACTCACTCGCCACCGAAACAAATTTGCTTTTCTACGAATCCACAACTTTGTTTCGCCAAAAATACATCTTTTCAACGCTTTCTCGAGCGTAAACCCTTTATTATGGTTTCCAAGAACGAGAAGTATAATGGACATAAAGAAAGTGAAGGAGCTCGAAGGATTCGGACACAAAATGTAGCCTAATTGGCGACGGCGATTAGGACTGCTTCTCTTTACGTATTGGGCAACGTGTAGAAAAGTCATTTCCACGAAGAAGAAGAAGAAGAAGAAGAAGAAGAAGAAGAAGACGAAACCGCGTCAGCAGGTGCTTGATAAAATAATGCTGGCGGATAATCCGGTTGGCTGTTCGAGGACATTCTTTGCAAACGATGATATTTCGCGCGGCATCCTTTCGCGGACCGGTTTTTTCACGTAATAACGGAAAGATTTAGCGCCGACATGATGCGTTCGTGTTTCCTATTGCATGCAACATTGCAAAGAGCTTGCACGACCATTCGTTATATTAGCATAATACTCAATTTTATTCTTCGGTCGCTTATCGCCGCTGACACATTCGTGCATTAGCAGGTGTCGGGCGAAATTGAGGGATGATTGCACCTTCCAGCATAACGCTTCGTGGAAACTGTACGACTTACACCGGGGAAGAAAACATCATAATAGAAGACCTTGTGAGAAATATGGAATATTACTTGAGGCTGTCTTGTGTTTTAATATATCAAACTCTCTCTCTCTCTCTCTCTCAGCTCGTGTGTGTAGCAAAACTTCTTATTCTTTGTGTTCACACACACACACACAAAGTAAACGAAACTTTATTTATTAATTTAATTTATTTTAAATATCGCTGAAAATAATGTCAATAAAACTGTTTAAATAATAAAACGACGAGTTATATTCATATATTATTTCAGTCGATTTTGTTCGTATTCAAATTATGTTATTCCATAGAAGCTTATTTGCGTCAGCGCGCGCGCGCGCGCGCGTGTGTGTGTGTGTGTATGAAAGAGATTGGACGATCGGGAATCGATTTTGGCAGAAAAGTGAATCCAACGAGCGTGGCGACCGCCCGCGAGGCAGCGCGATATCTCGATTCCACGAACGAGTGTGTGCACACGATGAATCCCGCGAAGAACGGGATCCAGCTCATGGCAACAATATCTACCATCTTGGCGCGTACACGCAGGCGGGGGAAAATTTGGTAATAAAATTTGTTCCCGCCAGTTAAGCCGGGTCCGTTGCCAAAAGCGGCTATTAATTCTTTATCTCGCATCTTCGATCTTCCGCCGAGTCCTGATCCGCCTCGGGATCCGCCGTAGATGGATGCTTTTCAATATCCGACGGGATTGCCTTTCACTTACTCGAATCATCAAAAACAAAGTGTGAAATCATCGGCGCGATTAGAGTTGACATTAAAAATTAATACCGCTTGTATATAACGTAAATAATTCGATCGTTACTAAAAACCAAACGATGCGTGACAAAATCTTAGCTATTAGAATCCAAAAAAAAGATTTAAGACTCTCGCGCGAAACGTTTTTTGCTTTGAGATAAATCGTACGTAAGCGTCGATCGCGCAAAGTCTTGATGATCTGATCGTTCATTTTTCGGGGAACTCTCTTGTGTCCGTCGCACGCCTCAACGCACCGTTTTCATGGAAGCGAGAGCAGCATCTCTCGTACAGCACGAGAAACGACTTAATACGTAGGTAGAGACTGTATTCCCGTATACACACGAATATATACTCTCGCTCTGCGCACACCGAGTTATGTATGTACATGCATAATGGCAATAGCCGGGCCAAGTCGCTGGCGTTTTATGAGACAACCTGACTGTAAGTCCCAATGAGCTCGTAGACCACAATTGTCGAGTAATCTTTAAATTGTAGATGCGAAATAACGATCGCGGCAAACGGAAGCTTTTGCGTTTTTCTGGACGAGAAGAGACTTGTAATTTATTTTCTGAACAGAATTTCTCGAGAAAGTAAAAACCAATAACTTTTTGCTTGGTTACACACGCAAAGTTACACTTTTATCTCACTTTTTTTAAGTCTCGTCGAATCTACAATTGTTCCACAAAACGAAAACTCGTTTGTTTTTGCGCATATTCTTTGTGTAACACCTTATATCGATACTCAAGATGAAATATAGCAGGTGCAATGTATTAATTTTGTAGGAAATTATCGAGCTCGTGCATTGTGTGGATCGATAAAAATGTTTGCGACACGAACACATTGGGAGAAGAAACGCTCTTAACCATGTGAGCTAGAAGACTATGTTGAGATATATTTAATCTGGTGCAGAGTGGGTAAGGCTCATCTAGACAAGGAGAGTGGGCTTTGTCGGACAAAGATCGAGGAGAAAGATAGCCGATACCTCTGGGAAATATCGGTATCGATAGGTGATCAGAGCTAAATGGTTTATGCGAGCGATCAACCTCCGACCCCTTGTAATAACCGGTAAGGAATCTGCCGCCTGATCTATTGGATCGAATTCGATCGAGTTACACCTCAAGCGGGTGGGGCCAGTCGTATTTTTATTCAAACCCAAAACAACATAGATAGATTTTTGGATCTTCCTCGGTTTTAAGCCCCGGTCGTACATCAGCGATAAAAATTAATCTGATAATCCTGCTTGATGAGGCGCTACAAGTTAACAGCGAAGCAGTTATTTGAAATTAAACAATATTTTTTTTCTCTCTTTTTTCACAAGCAGACAACGCAGGCAACAGAACGTCATTTAGTTTGAAAAATGAAATCATTATTTTAATATATAAATAAAAAAACAAAGATGATCAAGAACGTAAGTCCTAAATCTCCGAATTATTGATAGCGGTCTCTGTGAATGCGGCAGGTGGTACGCGTCGGGTGGTTCTAATCGCGCGCAATCCCGGAATAATTTACGCCCATATATTTCTCGGGAATCATCGCGAGAGCGTTAACGAGTGCCGGACATCGCTCATTTTCTTCGGCGATCAGGAAGCTGCTTTGTGAGCTCCGCTTATACCACAACAGGGCACGTTATACTGTTCGTGCCCAGCGACAATAGGCCGCGCGCGCGGTGCACGAGGAAGAGGAGGCAACCGCCGTGAGGATTGGCCAGTAATGGAGTCCTCAAGCGAGGGCGAGGGCAGAAAGCATCGGCCGTTTAAGCACAGCTCCTCGTGGACGGCTAATAATATTAACCGTGCCGCGTCGCAATCACACAATGGCCCTTTGTAGAGGCGCCCGGTCGCGCGCGCGCGTAAATGCTCGTAACATAAATTGCGAGCGGCGACGCGCTTTATTGTCTTTGCGCGACGCATATTATCTTCCACTATGTCGTGTTCCCCTCTACGTTCCCCGTGGTCGTATGTCGCGTTCTCGCGTCGCGTCCACCGATTTCTATTCGCTCAAGCGGTAACGCCATTTTGTAGCCGACTTATAACATAACAGTCGCTTTCAACGCTACCGCAAATTTATAAGTACTTAAGGAAATGAATTTCACCACTTGGCAGTTATAAAATCTTCTCGCTGAAAAACGTGAAATCTGTTCGGAAAGATTTCAGGTGAGATATTTCAGGTGATATTTTCAACAGCGCGCGTCGCGGACTATAAACGGCGTTTGTTTAACACCACAACCGCAATACAAAAAAAAAGAATAACAACGGAAGCGATGTTACATTATGTGTCTATGATTTATGCGCGATTCATTGTTTGCTACGCGAACGCTGACAACAACGGCTGCATTGTCGTACTTCGTTATTATTCTTCCACTCTCCTTCCCTTCGCATCGATGTTAAATGAACACAAGCTCTCTCGACTTTCAGCGAGAGAGCGTATTCCGACTCGTGGCGAACATAAATCGCGCCCATGCGGATCTGCATAAACTTCGCGCGTCGCAAACGCGCGAATTGTGCTTTTAATCTTCGGTGAGCTTGTAATTGACTTTTGTTTCTGTGAAAATTGGATTGGACTATATTGTATTTCATTGCACATTTGAAAATTCTCAACATCAAATACAAGCGCTCAAAAAGAAAAATTGTTTATCAATTGTCAAGTTACTTAATTATACTGATCTACATTTTTTTTCTATCTAATTACCACAAAGAAGTGCAATGTGTGTGTGAAAAAATAATCTTCGAAGGAAAAACTTTTCTTCTCAGACTTTCTAATTTAAAATTAATTGCTTGATACTTACGTTTATTTCGATGTGTGTAAGCTCGTTCCCTCAAGTTGAGATTTCTTTCAAATACAGTAGAAAGGAAAAAGGATATGGGATGACATGCCATGAGGTGATGCAATGATTGAACACGCCGGCGTGATCTGGAGAATAAATTAATATATTTTTAGTGGATATATGATAGGTACTGATTTCGCATATCCCGGATCATTGTATGGCAACTCTTAATCACCCCTAACCACAAACAGAGCTCGGTAGGTCAATTTTGCTTACGGGGGTGGTGGAGAATAAAGTTTGTTTTTTGTACCGCGCCGTATCCTCACGCTTAGGATCTTCAAAGTTTATATACAATGCCAGGAGAGTTCCTATTGCAGAGGTCCTCAAGCTTTTTTTACTCGTTTTTCTTTATATTTTTAAACTGATTCGCGCGTTAAGCGAGTTTTGTTTTGCTACATTACTACAAACAAACTGCTGAGAGAAATGATGTTTAATTCAACCGGTCTATTTCTCCTGTAGATGTTCATATTACAAGAGTGGGAGTCCTTTTTCGATAAGTTTTTATCGATTCAAAATCTCGCCCGAATGTAAAGAGTTGAGAACCTCCGCTCTATTGCTTTAAATTTAAATAATATCCGCAATCGACGAACACTGGGGTATCGACTACTCAAATTAAATAAAACAGACCTCCTTCCCGCTATTTACATTAAATACACGCTTTTGATGCATGCACACGCACATTCATACGCATATTCTCTCTTGCTCTTTATTTCTTTTCGTCTTTCTCTTACCTCAAGGATAGACAACAACGTCTAGTCGGCGAGCATATCCGCGTTTATTGCACATTTTTGTGTTAATCTCTTTTTTCGAAACGAGACACAACATGGACGAGATCAAACACGCTCTATCTACAACAGTCACGCATGCATTCGATATGTCGAAATGATATAAGTCTTGTTCGATCCATGTCGATGACGCGATCTTTAGATCCTCCGAATCCTTCTGAATCCAAAAAGCCCAAGAACCGCACAGTTAATCTAACTCGCGACTCGATTCGAAACTTACACAGATTTTTTAAACTTTGACTTTCTCAAAAGGACTTTAAGGATACTAAGAATCTAGTCGCGTTCATCGAAGGACGGGAGAATGTCTACAAATACGCAAGGATATCCATGAATCTATCGGTTTCAGTCAAAACAGGAACCCTGGTAGAGACCATTACCATAGTTGACCGTCCTGTATCCAATCTTTCAACCAGAATAACCAGTTTTTGATTTTCACATTTCAATATTTGCTTGTCCGACGGCCACCACTTGCTAAATTAGGTAAATCCCGAATGGAAGAATCCTAATTAATCACACACTTGTGGCCACTTTTAACCACGTGTCCCTTTAATCGGGCTCACCTCGACCTGTTCACTACGTTGTGGAAGGCGATGTGCAAGCCGACGAAATGGGCGACGTCGGCGACGTCGGTGTCACTGGCCTGCGCTCCGATGCCGCACTAGTCCGGTTGTTGTTCCCCAACAGGCTGTCGATGGAGAACGGGTTCAGCCTCTTTCTCTCTTCCCTGCCCTTCACCGAAAGATCAATGCTGCCGCTCTGGACTTCGTCCTCGGCTTGCCTGATCAGGTTCCTGGCGCCATTACCGACCGACTGGCGATTTGTTCCGACTCCCACCAGCTCGCGTCGTCGCTCCAGCAGGCTCAAGCCCCAGTGGTGAATACCGGGTTGATGATTCAAGTGTTCGACAGACGAGTTTTGTGGATTCTTCCGGAGTTCGCCAACTTCGTTCGCGTTACTGCTGATTACCGGGTAACACTCACCGTCCACGGAACCATCCGCCGCGGAATCGACCCGCTCACTTCCACTCTCGCTACAAGAGTCCAATCCGCCGACCACGTCTATCTCCTCGTTGGCGTCGTTGCCGGTCGCGGAGATATTGTTGCCCTCGCTGCTCAAACCTAGTTGACCGAAAGAGTTGCTCAAAGGGCCACTCGCGGAACCGCGTCCCGACGCCGCCTCGCTACGAGACTCCCATTCGGCACGCAATGTCGATAAGTCCACTGTAATGCCCTTCAAAATCAAGAAACAAACACGCATACAAATTATTCAGTATTATATTAATGAAACTCTGTAGAAAAAAAATAAGAAAACAGTTTTTCTATCGCAATATAACACACACAACCTTCATCTCGATACACGAATTTAATAAATAAATTTATTGTGAGAACTTTAATACGGAATAATGTAAATATTTTTTGAAATTTATAAATCGTTGAAAGATGTATTTTTGCAAAACTTGAAACTTACTTTAGCAGCGAGCTTCCGCTGCTGTCTCTCGAGAGCTTTCAGCAACTTTTTTTGCCGCCTTTCGCGCTCTTTCCGTCTCAGTTCTTCGGGTGGAATAGGTTCGCCGCTGCAGCTTTGAGGGTGAGCATTATGCGCGGGTCGTCCGGGGCCTTTCTTCGTGTGTTCTTTTTTCCGCCATTTTGCTCTTCGATTTTGAAACCATACCTAAACAGCGATAATCGAGAAGAACTTAAAAAATCTGCTGCATTTAATTAAAACTTTTGATGTCGTTGAATATTCGTCGAATGATTATGTGTAAAAAAAGTAGAACGTAACACACACTTGTGTTCTTATAGAAAATACATGTTTTTTTCCTATTAGTAACATCAGTTAATTCGAATCGCAAGTAGCCTTCTCATCTGTCTGTTACTAAAAAAAAAAAAGAAAAGTGACTTAACAATCAGTTAGCTCTAATCGCTCATAAAACCTCGATTTTTTATTTTTTTCTCGTGATCCTTACTTGTAGCAAGTACGTTGTACTCGCCGCGCGTCGCATATAAATTTCAAGATTCTCTTCGAGTCTTTCCCCATCGCGCCCTCTTGTACGACGCGAAATTTCCCCGTGAGCTACTTAAATCACAACGCCCGCAGCACGGCGCTATCAGAAGCGACACGAAGGGGGATACATTAAGTTCCGAAATTACAGGAAGACTCCTGTCTCAGAACGAAGGACCAATGACCCTCCCGGGTGTCCTGATTCATTCAGTACGACAACCCTTTGCTCGCGTGAACGCTTGTGGCATGAACGACGATTTAGGGCTAGCGTGAGCCACGGCGCTACCAGGGGTAGCGACGGCACTCGAGGGGGGTTGAAGAGGTGGCGAGAGGGAGAGATGAAGACATTAGTTGTACGGCTCGGCCGGTGAGTGGCGCTGAGCTCACGCGAGCCGAAGATCAATAGATCCCCTTGGCTCCCTGAAACACCTTTCTTGCGTCACGTAGCTTTATGACTTTCCTCGACTTCGGGGCACTTTCGTAACCCCCAATGAGCCCAAAGCGCTAACCCACCCCCCTCCTCGCGCGTTATCCGCGAGTCGCCGTTATCCGCGATTAAACTTCAGATGATCATAATTAATTCAATTACTTCTACGACTTCTATTAGAGTCCGTCGCACGCTTATCTGTCCATTGTTTAATTCTCCAAACTTTGTGACTTTCAGAGGCCGCGGAACATTGTGGATAAATTTAATTGTGAATGTATTGCGCAGCAGTAACTTTTTAAATCAACGGTTATTGCTATGTTTTGCGTTAACGGTTTGACAAACAAATTTTGTCATTTTTTTTTGTCCCAAATTTTGTCAGAGAACAAACTACTTGTTTGCTCGATTCAAAATCTTACTCCCGCAAATCTCACAAGAGTTGTTCTACACACGGTTCAAAACCAAACGCAGCTGTAACGCATTAAATTAACGCGATGCGTGGGAAACGTGACTCGACCATTAGGCTGTTCGTCAGAATTTATCAACGACCGATAAAAGGTCATAACAAGCTGTTGTGTCCTATTACAGAAGCCGGCAATGTTCCGACAAACTAAATAACAGTTTTTATTTCACGCTGCAGCGTGTAACAGCGTCGAAAGATTATAAACAGCTATACACATCGTGCGATTGGATTAAACATGTGTGTACATCTTTATGGCGGCGAGAAAAAAAAACTTGGAAGTAATGACACATCGTTTTGATAACCACCAGTCCCCACACAAATTTTGTGGGGAAGATAATGCATATTCTAATGTAATTATGTGTTTCCGTCAATTAATAAACGATGTTTTCTGCTGCACCGATAACAGCACGTCGTCGACGACGAGCGCACACTCGGTCGATTAAACTGCTTCGAAACCGTAATTAATTCTTCTCCTTTTCCCGATAAGTAGTTATTGTATGACGGATAAGAGGTATCGTGTTAAAATGCGGGAGATATATAAAACAAATACAAAACATAGAAGAGAATGCTAAACAACGACATCTTTATCTCAAATAATGCTCCGTTCAATTGTGTTTTATTCGAAAAAAAATCGCATCGATTTCGCTGATAGAGCTTCGCCGCACAAAGTCGGATAAGTGTGAACAATAGATCGCAATATAAGATCTCAGAATAATTGCGTCACGGTTAATGCATGTGATCGGTCCGACATTCTGCGAGTTCAGCGTTTTATCAATGCGGGTCGATATTCCCGGAGCCTATTCAAGTTTGTCGTCGAATGCAAATCGCGCTTTGATAATGGCGATGTCGGGCGCGCGAGAGTGTGTTCTTTTCTCGCTCGCGATAAATCAAAACGCGTGGTTCGCGGTTATTTATGATCGGGCTATATGACTCGTTCGAGCGTCTCTCTCTCTCTCTCTCTCTCTCTCTCTCTCTCTCTCTCTCGCGAATAATATTATGCGAAAGTGGTAACGCGCGCGGCGATAACCGGACGACCGACACAACGCGCGCACGGTATCTGCACGGAAATTTTGCGAATCCGAGAATGAGAGAGATTCGGAAAAATATGTATATTCCCGAATCTTTCGAAATTTCTCGTCGATCTGCATGTGCGGAGAGGAAGATCAGATTTTGCCGAGAGAAGAGACGGGAGATGGCGGAGACGATAACCCGGCTGAGTGGTGACACAATGTGACACGATGTCACACAGCGGGTGCGTCCTTTCGGAGGGACGTCCCCACGACGGGGAATAGCTCTAAGATTAGATAACATCGATCACTATGTACGATAACCTTCGTGAACGTATGTGTTTCTGGTGTGTCTTTTCAAAATATCGCAACAGTCAGATATAACGCGGCCATCGTTCGATACTATCGACCCTTGTAGTCGAATTTAAATGATGCGAATATCATTAAGACCCGTATATATTTACGGTCGCGTTACTTGCATCTGGTTTTCGAGATCGTGTCAGTTGAGATCCTCAGAAATCGAGATTCGAACAAGCGTTTGCATTTGTTACTTGATTTCGTTTTGAGAGCGTAATATATATATATATCAGTGTCGAGATTTTCAAAAGCGAGATTTCTAATTTCGAAACGCGAACAATTCAAATACAGTTACATTGTGTTACGAGATTTGTTGCCAGTAATGAAACTCTGTGATAACACATAACGCGAACTATATACGATCTACAATAATAAATGTGACGAGAAACATAATCAAAAAGTTGCAAATTGTTACTTTTCCCTTTTAGAATATTTTAATAGTGAATTTGGTCAAAATATATAATGCTTATTTTGAATGTCAAAAGCACTGTTCGATAGTGGCGCACAAAGTAAAAATTACTTTCGTCACGTCGGTATTACATTCAACAAGAGCACAATTGTCGAGTCTCAGTGTTACGTTATATATGCGATGTCCTTAAATTCTAACAACATATTACGTGAACGTAAATTCTATGACGGTAGTCATCAGAGATCGATAATGTGATAGGCACGAATTTAAAGTGACTTTAGGATCGAGTTTTCCAGGGTCGACAGACGTTCCAAGGGTTAGTTTCAGTCTCGGACTTTTGCCCCTTCACTTCTTCGTCTCTGGAGGATAGTTAGTCCATCTGGTCCGTTTCCTTCGAGATCTATTCGAGGGTGCAAAATCACGCGGATTTATCCCGTTCGGCGATCACGTCCATTTAAATAAGAATGCGCGCGGTGCTGATGCTATTATTTCTCAATCAATTTTTTACAAGATCTCGTTGTGTTTCTTCTTTTATTTATTAATTGTGTAATTTAATAAATATTTTCAACATTTGATTTTCTGAACGCCACACACACAAGCAGTTTTGTATAAAAACAAAAACTCTATCGTAGAATGACGTGGAACAAAGCTTCATAAAAAGAGACGTTCTCTTATAGAGATCTTCTTCAAAGTTCTTCGCAAGGAGAGATTTATCGCCATATAGACACACACGGTATTGCGGTTCCGCGAAACTAACGTTAAATCTGTTTTATGCGTAGCCTATCGCGTCTTCCGGTATTCGGAGAATACTCACGCCTTTCGTTCAATAAACGCTATCCAGCCGAATCCTTCGACAGGACCCATGAAGGGTGGACTCTCAATTTCACGGCCGGTCGGACATACGGTCACCCTTAAGTTCCTCCGGCGGATATTTATATTTATCCGCTTAGACACGCGTGTTAGGCCCCGCAAATAGCACATGCATCCGTTCCCTACTTCACATTGTATTGTGTGCGTTCCACCTCCTCCTCGTTTTTATCACACATCCATCCTTCCCGTTCTAATTCTTTTGTTTCCCGTCGGACATTTTCGTTACATTTTTTTTTGATAAACAATCAGATCATCATAATTTTGTTATTTCATTTCTCGGTAATAATTTTGCGTGTTGCAATATTATTGTATAGCAGTCGGACATCGCGTGATACGGATTACCTCCGAAGATTGCATGTTTCTTATGAAGAAAGAAAGAACTCTTGTTGATCCGAGATTCAAAGAAGGTATATACCGTGCTGAAGACGTTTTTATGAAATTACATCATTGAAACAAATAATAATAAAAGTGGAAGAGAGAAGAAACTCACCGCCACGCGGCTCTCTTTTAATTCGAGTCTCACAGCCAAAGCTTCTCGCATAAAAACGTCGGGATAATGACTCGACAGAAAAGCCCGCTCTAATTCTTCCAACTGCCAACTGTTGAAGTTAGTTCTGCTTCTTCGTCTCTTGTTGCCGCCTTCGTCTGACTCGCCGTCGCAACCTGAAATTGTTACATACACTTAGAAAGTAATAAACAAGACCAAACGTTCGAGAACAGTTTTTTTTATTTATTTTTTTTTTTTGAGCATATACATTTGAACATCTAAACACAATCTTTCGAATATTTTTGTGATCTAATTTGAGGAAAATGACGAAGGGCAAAGATATAGGACGAGTCTGTGGCAAGTATTTTTTTCTAATATCGGAAACGCGGCTCTTAAAAGTTTCGAAGATATTATCATATAAAGTAGCGTCGGTAATCTTCGAGGAAAGTAAATCACCGTTAAAAAAAACTTAAAATTAAGAATCAAGTTTAGTGTCTCTCAAAATTAACGTTTTCAGACTTGAGGCATGAAAAAAATCCTCAGAGAAGAGAGTCAAAGATCAAACGCCACAAGCCTCTCTCTATGAAGCCTCTTGGCATTTGACGACGTTGCGAGCCTCGAAGGGTGAAAATCTGAGAAAAAGTCATCGTAAAAGAGCTTTGCGGAGACCCGAGGTCTCGGAGGAATGCTTCTAAGATCAAAGATCTAAAGATCCCAACATTGGCGGAGAATAGAAGAAGTCAATCGCTCGAGTAAACGATAACGGCGACATAGTCGAACACCCGCAATTACTTAATCGGCGCGAGCCATTGTTGCCGCGCGACAGGATCGCGTAAGTGCACGTCTCGCAGTGAAAACAAATGCAGTAGTTACGCTAACCGCCGAGCAATAATGTAAGCCCGTTGTTGTAACGGCCGACGCGCGCGTTCCAATAATGAAGTTAACCATGTAGTAAAGTTGTGCACTCCTCTTCAATCTTCTCCTCCGATCGAGCAGCTGCACCGGCGCGTTCGTTTTCATGCTCGCCACTTTGCCGATGTAAATCGATGAATTTGCGCGCACGCACGCTTAACAAGTACGATCGTTTCTTTTTATTCGTCGTTATGTCAAGTCGAGCGTGACGCGAGTAACGGAGAGATTATAACGGCAATCATCATTGTTAGACATAATCTAACAACATAATTTCGAAGCGCGATTTGTGAACCTGTATGTGTGTGTGTGTATAAGTTTAGAGCAAGACCTTACAGATTGAACTTTCGAAAATTATTTTTACAAAATTAAGAAAAAAATATTCAACTTTCTAGAACTCTCGCTCGCGCCTCGATCCTCTCAATATAGCGTGTAACGTTGATTTTTAATAATTAGAGATAAAAATGACAAAACTAACTAATTATAATTAACCATACTGTTATAACCGCGTACTGTTTCTTCGATCATTTTATTTTAATGTCATTAAACTGGCACACATTTCACTTATATTTCTAAAAAATGTGTTTCTGTACATGTATTTTTTACTAATTGTTATTAATTATTAGAAAAACTCATCTTTACGTGAGCGATACGCTTTTTTTTTGTCGACGTAAGTGTAGCGATCGATCGGCGGGATCGTTGCATCCGGGCGACGAAACGTTATAATTTGCGGCAGCCTATCTCACGCGTGATCGATATCGATATCGAATTAAGTGCTATATACTTTCGACGGGAATTATTATGTTCGTGCCACACGAAAATGGAGGACGACGTCGATGGCGGACAATCGCGAATTTATCTTAATTTCGCGCCATTTGTAACCGTGGTGTAAGGTAAACACTCGCCCAGCGTCGAATGAATTAGATCTTAATAAAGACTTTTAAACACGTAATCTAATATGAAAAAGAACTACGATATGAATATATGTAAAGTTGAAAATTAACATATCGTACATCAAAATTGCAAAAGACACGAAGCGTATGAAACAAAGAGAGAAAATTAAAAAAAAAATAACTTTATTAAACACACCGATGCAATAAAACATCGTTAAATCTTATTAATTAATTTGACCGTTGTTCTTTACTATTTGCTCACACAAAAAAAATAATTCGACGTCAATATCATGTTGTTCTCTTTAACATTTATTAAAATGGTGTTTGAGTCGACATCTGAGGAACAATAACCACTCCGCGAGGGGAGCTCATACCGAAAATCGCATCCCATTTTATCTGAGCACGCGCGAGATAAGGCCGCAAGCCGAGCCAGCATCCCAGCATCGGCGTTCCTTTCACATATATTGAATAAACATGGAATTCCAGTGATTTTACGAGGACAATTCGCTACTCTCGACGATATCTTCGGTGGGGATCGGCGGTTCCCAATGCTGCGCGTATGCATGCTAATGGTCGGAATTGAATAAAAAAGATCGGGAATTATGATTGACCTGGCAATATCACAAAAAACCTTCAGTTATCTATCTATATAGATTCCCCGCGGAACGAAGCAAAATAAAAATTACTTCTCTCCCTCGAAATCGTTCTTTTGCATGTGAAAACAATATGCCACGTAACTGGCGCATCAAAACTATTATAAAATGCAAAATTGTGAAAAAAAAAAAAAAAAAAAAGTAAAATCACTGTGCTTTGCGACGCGAGGTATTTCGAGCGACTTAAAAAGAGCCGACCAATTAAGATTTACCGATCGCAGATAGTGTTTGCGGATCGGGCTGGAGATCGCCGCTCAGGTGGACAAAGGCAATGAAAAATCGCAGGGCTGGGATATTAATCAACGTAATTAGATGCTATTTATTCGCGGGCCGTCTCGTTCGCTCCGCGCGCGTCTCGCTCATTATTGATAATCTATAATCCATAATAAGCGCTCTCCGGCGCAGTGGCAGGTTGAAGGATCGTCGCGAACGATAATACCTTTATCATGTCAATGCGTCCCGACCGATCACCGCGCTCACTTGCATCACAAATTCCATAATAGAATAAGTGGCAGTAATTAATAATTCGAAGCAAATCGGCGAAAGCGGGGCGGATAATTTTCTCGATTAATGTGCACATACTGCAACTTCGACATTATGAAATCAAAACAAATTATATACAGAAGATATTGAGGATATCGATGTTAAAAATCTGTTGCGTGTGACTTAGCGCTTTGTTTAAAAAAATATACATAATTTTTTAATATATCCCGCCCTCAGCTTTAAAAGTATAATTAAAGATTATAATTATAGATATAGTTATTTATTTCACCAAGCTGTTGTGTAATAAAATAAAAGAAGAGAAATAATCTCTCGTTCGTCGTAGAAAGATGTTTATTATCGAGCTGAGGCATGTCGCGGTTGTATCATGAAATTAGTCGACTCATTATCATCATGTCAGGTTCATTATGCACCGAATGCGTTACGCCGGGAGACAGCTCGCTTCCCTCGTTAGAAGGAAATGCAATTCCGCTGCGAGGCGAACGTAACGAAAATAGATTAAGACGACGGATTCGCGATCAAACCGGACGTGAAAATTGTTTAACTCGTTCTCTCATAAATTATTTAGCGCGCCGTCCGCTATCATGCATCAAGTTTGATAGCTACGCTTGATAATAACTCTCGCGCCTGACTGATCGAGAACTAAACTCAGTTCTCAAAGTGCAATGCAACGGCGTAAATACGTTTCGGCCAAATCTGCGTGCGAATATTAAAAGAAAACACGCGCGCACAGAGTTGCGCGCTATAGTTCCGTCAAGCTAATGTGCTATCAATGCTAAACACAGTGTAATTTTAGGTTGCGTCATAATTCTAACGTTAATATGCACGCGAGATCAAGTAAAAAACATTTGTGGTTAAATAAATGTATCTATTTACATGTTTTGCATAGGTAACGTTATTTTTAATAAATATCTCATTGCTAATTGCAAACAAAAAACTGGTAACGACGGGTTTGGCCTCGAATCATTGCTTGACACACACTTCCTCAAACACATTGACCTGCGATTTCAATGATAATGATCCAATTAGAGGCCGTTTTCTAGAGCGTTTCACTCTAATTGCGCCACGGTCTGTTCACGTTTTTGTTTTCTTCGATTTCAGTGTCGCGATCTTGCGCCTTTTTAAATTCTTAATAAGATTAGTTAAACGCTGTATCACTTACAACGTTCGCGATTCGTGTCGCATGCAATTAAGCTTGTAATTCAATATACTTACGACGCGCATGTCATATAAAATATGTAAATGTTCACTAAGAAAAAAACTGTTCATTTCTTCACGGAAAAAAAAATAATGTTGAATCAACAGTATTAGTTTAATTGAAATATATCCTGTTGATGCAACTTCAATATTATTGCACTATACACAGCAGATAGTTGCTTTAAGAATCTAGACATTAAATTAATCGCATATGCAATTGAATAAACTATTTATTTTTGTGGCAGCCCGTGACGTCAACTTTAATTGAAGCAACTCCATTTTTTTTCTGTATTCGAACGGAAGGCGATCAACGATGATGAGCATATTGTCACACGTGCGTTGGTCGATGAAAAAATTCTCGCGCAAAAATTCTCTGAATCATCAGAGAGCCGCAATCAATTACGAGCGAATGAGGCGATTTTATAGATTGCATAGTGCGAGCTCGCGGTTGTGTATGTGTTTAATACACGTTGACGTTTTCAGCGCGGTGTATAATCGCATGATGATACGTTGCTGGCATCTAACGACGCACGCGACCCTTTGTGGAAACGAAACGTTACCTTCTGCGAACGTCTCACTCGTCGAGAAAATGCACGCGAAAGAAGAGAAAAGAGTAAATACCATCGTATATACAGGTATGCGCCAATAGAAACTGGTTTTTTCATCATATGCGAAGGAAGATGATATCTTTCACTGAAAAGTATCCAATAATTGAATAATGACTCAAGAGCAACAGAGTAGATTAAGTGTTTAATAATTTAAAAATCCGGTTTACTTTAGATGTAACATTTTTTATGCACGTTTGCACTTTATCTCAGAAAAAAGTAAAGACTTGAGCGTAATCAGAGTTACGGATATTTCATATGTGTGTCAGAGAATCGAGTTAAAATTGTAATAAATCGAAAAATTATACGCATAAAATTAATTTTGTCCATTATCATCATCGTCATCACTGAGAAGATTGAGATCTTTAAAATAATTTCCCAAGGAGAAACGTGGTGGGTATCTCTCTCTCTCTCTCTC